GGTTGTTCAGTAGTAACTTAGGTTGTTTAAGAGACTGTTTGTTATAAGTTGGTGAAATGGTAAGCTCCTGGGTATTGTTGGTATTTTATTTTTTATAACTTTTATGCTGCTCTTTATAGCAAGGGTTTTTCTAATTGCATGCTGTTCGTAGGGCTTTTTCGTGCATATTATGTAGTCCTTATGCCCCAAACAGTTTCAGAGGACAATAGGCTACCACAGGGACTCAGGAAGTAGATTTTCAAAGTATTTTGTTTATTAGTGCTCAGGGATGGCTCTTAGCATTACCCAAATTGTTAACAAAATGAAAAAAGTTTAAGAAGGGAAATATTTTATTCAGTTTTAAGTAGAAGTCAGGAAATCTTGCTTCTGACCAACTTGATACATTTTACCATTTAAATCTTCTAAATAAAAAAAGTGTAATACTGCTTTTGAATATCTCATCCGATTCAGTCTTAAAATAGTTATAAAATTCTGTTAAAAATTAGAATTTCATGGCTCTTGCTTCGGACTAATTTTTGACAGAAATGACCCGTGACTCCTTCTCCGGGTCCTCCTTATTCAGGCTTACTGCCTTGTTCTTTTATGTTGTGAGTCACCCACTCTGTTGAGACTCAGTAACCAGGAGTTTCCACTGCCAGCGTGAGATGCCGTGAAGTTGTGCGTAACTTAGATATAGAGACCTTTGTTTGTCGATCCTTCCTTTGGTTCTTCCGTATAGTTTGGGATGCCGTGCCCAGATTCTTCTTTCAGAAGGGACAGCTCAGTAGTGGCTGCTTGGCAAGACTAGTAGTTCAGCCTTCACCAAAGCCACTACCCTGGCTCTGGCAAGCCAGGCTCAGCCCAAAAAGGGACAGCAGGTTTTCTGGGCCTGGCTGTCTTTACTGAGGTGGGGCTTTTTGGGGAGTCATTCAAATAGGAGATTGATGGGCTGTCTTGAGAGACTGGAGTTGAGCAAAGGGGGGAGAGGGTCTAAGGTGCCTAGGGAAGATGTTAATTTCTTTGGTGGGACATTGATCCAATGACTCAGGTATTTTGAACATGTTTAATGGACAGCAATGGGGGAGCTTACAGCATTGAGGGAGAGGTATTCCTAGGGTCCTAGAGGAGGGCATAATGAGAGAGCTGGTGGAAGGAAACTGCTTAACATTGGGATATTGTAATTATGGCCTAGAGGCTGATTATTATTCTGGAGTGCAGACCTCCCCTAGGGTCCTATAATCTCAACAAATCACAAAGTAATGAGCATATGGAGAGTGAAAAATAACTAAAAAAGATCATAAAAAGCATTAGAAAGTTAAGAGGAGGCTTAAACAAACAAACAAACCCTGAAGACTAAAGGGAATGATAAAAAAAAAGGAAATAGTTACATTAAAACCCTTCATAATAACCCTGTAACGAAAGGTGAAATAGGTGATATTTAAAATAAAAGATGTAAAAGGCAGAAAGAACTAGCTAAACAGAAAAGAATGTAGAAGCGAAGATAATAAAAGATATAATTTTTATTTTATTTTAAAATATGTCTTTATTGATTTCAGAGAGAGGAAAGGAGAGGGAGAGAGAGAGCGAGCTAGAAACATCAATGATGAGAGAGTCATGGATCGGCTGCCTCCTGCACGCCCCGGACTGGGGATGGAGCCCGCAACCCGGGCATGAGCCCTGACCGGGAATCGAACCCCGATCGCCTGGATCCTGGGTCGATGCTCAATGGCTGAACCACGCCCGACTGGGCAAAGATATAATTTTTAAATACAGCTGTGAACTTATATAAACTTTAGAAACTTTAAAACACAACATTCTGTATCTTTTTTATAGCACTTACCACAATTGTAATTAAATAATTGTCAGGATGAGTAATGTAAGTTTCCCCTCCTGGTTTGTAAGCTTTGTGCTAATTGGAGCTATGTCTTGTCTATTGCAGTATTCCCAGAGCCAAGCAGTGTGCTAGCAGCGTATTCTTTTTGAGTTAAAAAAAAAAAGTATAGAAAATGTTAATTTTCCTTAGAAGTTTGTTTTGTAAAATTAGAATATAAGGTAAGAGACTCTGAAGATTAAAGATAAGGAAGCTTTAAAAAAGAAGGTAAACCAGAGTAGGCTAGGAAGTAAAGCAAAACAATTAGCAAATGTCTTAGCATAAGAAATTCTAGAAGAGTATTGTTTGCTGACTTATTTTTAAAGCATCAATAATATGACAGAAGCAAAGAGGGAAAGACGTGACAGGGAGCCCAGCTCTGCAGTCTCCTCCCTTCAGCCCTCACGAGAAAGCTCCTGGGGACTGGGCCCTTTGGGGCATTTCTGGCTTTTCTCCTGGGGGGCAGTGCTCTTGTAGGTCCACCCTCACACTACCCTCTTTTTTATTAAGGTGAAAGTTACATGACATAAAATTAACCTTTTTAAGTGGACAGTTCAGTGGCATACAGTATATTCATAATGTGCAGCCATAACCATTATTTAATTCCAAAACATCTTTATCTCCCCAAATAAAACTCGATGCCTTTAAGTGATTATTTCCATTTCCTCTACCCCGAGCCCCTGGCAAGCACTAATCTACTTTATGTCTTTATGGGTTTTCCCTCGCCTCTTTTTAAACTGGATCTATTGCAGAGGGATATGCTATGCCCAAAAAGAAATTACTTGGCCTAAGAGGCCTACATAGTACTGGGACTAAGAGTTAGATCTCTCTTAATTTTAAATTTATTTTTTTAATAGCATCTTCAAAGAGTTCATAAATCTAAGTGGTGTTTATATGTACATTTTATTTTAAACTTCGTAATTCTCTTAGATCTCTATCCTAAATTATAAAATATACTAATTGCATTGATGATTACTTATAGTAACCTAGTAACCAGATATTTCTGTGTAATTTACACATCTGTGCCCCTCTACATTAAAACAGGGTTTCAACCATTGACGCCCTGGACTAGATAAGTTTTTTAAATATGTTTTTATTGATTTTAGAGAGAGAGGGAGAGAGAAAGAAACATCGATGTTTGATGTGAGAGAGAAACATCAATCAGCATGGGGAACAAACCCACAACCCTGGCATGTACTCTGATCAGGAATCGAACCTGTGAGTGACCTGTTTGGTGCATGGGACAGTGTTCAACCAACTGAGCCACACTGGCCTGGGCAGAACTGGATAAGTCTTTTCTGTTGGGGCTTTGTTGTCCTGTGCACTGTAGAATGCTTTGGCAGCATTTGGCCTAGGTGCCAGTAGCACTCCAAACCCCCTTCCAAGTTCTGAGGACTAGAAGTGTCTTCAGATATGACAGAATGTCCCTTCAGGGCAAAATCACCCCTGGGCTGACAACCACTGCATTAAAATCATTCCTCGTGCCCTGGCTGGTGTGGCTCAGTTGCTTGGAGCATTGTCCTGTACACCAAAAGGCCACAGGGTCCATTTCTGATCAGGGCACATACCCAGGTTACAGGTTCAATCCCTGGTTGGGGCGTGTACAGGAAGCAGCCAATCCATGTTTCTCCCTGACCCCCCCTCAGTCCTTCCTGTCTTTAAAAAAAAGTGCCCTGGCCGGTTTAGCCCAGTGGTTAAGAGTGTCAACCAACAGACCAAAAGGTCACGGGTTTGATTTCCTGGTCAAGGGCACGCACCTCAGTTGCAGGCGGCTCCAGCCCCAGCCGGGGCATGTGCAGGTGGCAACCAATCGATGTGTCTCTCTCATATCAGTGCCCTGCGCCCTCCCCTCCTTTCTGAAAAAAATCAATGGAAAAGATATCCTCCAGTGAGGATATAAAAAAGAAAAAAAGAAAAAAACAACATATCCTTGGGTGAGGATTAAAATAATAATAAAAATAATAAGTAAAACCATTCCTCTTGAGAGTTTGGCTTTCGCTTTTCGTAGAAACTGTTAATGCATTATTTGTTAGAAGTGGTTGTCAGAGTGATCGAGGAGAATTGCTAAATCACCCGTGAAGCTTAGTTGCTGACTTGTAGAATTGTTCCCCAGACTGCTCCTATTCTTAAAAATGTATTATTTGAGTTTTTAATTTTGATTTTTGGCAGCACTCTCCATGCTAATTGTGTGAGGGTCACTTCTTGTTGGGCTGTGGTATGCTGAAGGAATTCAGCTCGATTGCCTCATAGGAAGAATTTCACAGATAAAGTAAATACAGCCATATGAGTTTGTTCAGAAATACGTGAAACACTTAGACTGTTTTGAAATACGGTGAATAAAGCATGATCAGTTGAAAAGAGGAAGGATTTTTAAACAGTTTTCCCACTTTGATGTCAAAAGAACTTAGCCATGTTCTAGTGTTACCACTTAGCTTACTGGTAATAAATTAAATTCCTCCTTTCTGTGCTTCCTACCTAAGCCCTAGTGGTGGTTTTCTCAGAGTGTAAAGACTCCTTGGCTACTACTTAAATCATATTGTTTCTTAGTAATCACATATTAAATGAATTAAATTTAAAAAGGAATATTTGATTTGATTTATGATTTGTCTCAAAATAAATGGATAGCCTACTTAAATGCCCGACAGAATTGAAAGTCACATTTTCTAAGGGTTATCCTCCTATGAGCCAGTTTTCTAACTAGTTTGAGATTTTACCTGTAATTAAGTATAACCGGGGACAAAACTTTGGGGAAAATAAGACTGGGTGGATGGAGGAAGAGAGCCGACGGGAGATCATGAATGTAATATTACTGGATATTATTAAGTACTGGATAAAGAGATGACGCCTTGACTGGCTTTTTGCTGGGCATAAAGTATTTAATAAGGTTATGGGAAGAAAGACAGTCCCACACAGTAGAGTTTCGGCTGCCTTCTCTGCATAGTAAAATCCATTTTCTGTAAATTGTGTTTGGAAGGAGATGAAGGCCATCCCTATGTAATTTGTTATCCCCAAATTTTTCCTTAGTGTAGATGTGGAGAGAGGTGTAATTAACAGAATGTGCTTTTTATAAGGATTCGGTGCTTTGGCTGTTTCTGTCCCCCACCTGCACTTGGAATGTATCTAATCCGTCTTTATCACTTTATTTATTTAGGGACTATGTTAGAAGTGAACTGGAATCCGCCTATGAAGGACCAATGTATTTAGAGCCTCTCTCCATGAATCGATTTACGACAGCCTTAATAGGTAAGTACTATAAAAGAATTAAAAGTGTAGGTAGGAACCAACCAGTTTTACTATCTTATAAAATTGGTGCATAATTACTACCAAAAAAATTTGGAAAACTCAGCGACTCTGAAAATACAGGCATTGTTAAATATTCCATTTTCTTAGCCCCTTCCCCCTTGCATCAATGTTTCTTATTTTATGTGTTTATAATCATACATTGCCTACAGTTGCTTGTGCTTTTTAGTGGTATTTTAAGTATTTGGGAAGATTAATAAAAACTAATTAGGACTTTGTAAGATCAAAATGAAATATGTAATGTCTTAAAAGTTATTTATTACTATTGAAAGCCATCACCCTATAGTCAAAAACAAATTGCCAGAAACATCCAGAACTTGAGACATGATTGAAATCTTCAGGTAGCAGAATGTAAAAATAGAAGTGTTGGCTAAAGCCCCCAAACAATACAGATACAGTATAAAGTGAGGTACCAGACCCTCCTGTGCCAGAGTTGCAGAAAAGGAAGTGAGAGAAAACCTGTTTGTGGCTTTTAACTTCACCCATGCAGGTATTAAAAGGTCCAGTGTTGGAGACTGAAGGAGGCTTTCTTTAGAGAGAACTGTTTTCTCTGAAATACCTCCCCAGATCGAGAGAATTCAGTGTGGACCATTTAGAGAGTCGCGTATTCTGTGGCTTAGGTGGCAGGGGGTGGTGGTGCAAGATACTGTGGACTGGTGTCTGGCCAAGCCTGCAAAATCTAAAGCCGCATCATCCAGAACTAGCCACATGTGGCTACTGAGCACTTGAAATGTGGCCAGTCCACATTCACATGATATACCGTAAGTGTAAAACACACATCCAGTTTCTTAGACTTTGTACAGAAAGGATGCAAAGTGTCTCTTTAATTTTTGTATGTAGATCTGAATGTCTATATGTATGATATTTGGGATATGTTATATTAAATAAAATATATTCATTAATGTCACCTGTTATTTTGAACTTTCTGAAGTGAGGCTACCAGAAAATTAAAAATTACATATGTGCCTCATATTATCATTCTAATCGGATATTAAGGACAGCAGCAGAGTGGCTGGCTGTTGAGTTTTCTGACTGTAGAATGAGCGTGATTTCTGGGGTTCTCTGCATCTTCTAATCTGTTTAGGCAAAGAATGTTAGTTTCCTGTGGACTAGATGAAGGGATTTTCTTAGGTCCTTCCAGTAGGGCTCTTTAGAAGGATAATAAGACCCCAGCAGGGAGTGAACTTCCAGATACTCTGGAGCCAAGGAAAGAACCAAAAAACACCCAGAGGGAAGGTACATAACAAGCACCAGGGGTACTTTAGATGAGATGCACAGTGATGGGAACAGTCTCAGAAGAACCCATTAAATTGCCCAGGAGAATGATCAGTTTTAAACTCCCCCAATTCTGGGGAACTCATATCATTGTCAGAGTACACTTGAGTAAGAATTTCCTGCTTCCTTCCCTCTCCTTCCCTCCCTTTTTCAATCCTGGGTAAATCAGAAGAGAGGGAGATGGTAGTGGCAAAGAAAGAGGGAGAAGCTTGCCATAGGTGCTCCACCCTCTCTCACAATGCAGGTTTCCTATATACAGTCTCATAGGAGGCCTGATCCAGAGTAAGGGGAAAGCCTCAGCCTTGAATCAGTTTCAAAGTTTTGGTTACTATCAGATTGAGACTGTAATTTAAACTAGATTAGAAAAGTTATGGGGCTTACTGTAGGGGTAGGAGAACACTTAATCTTCAGAATGGGTTTTAAAAGACAGCAGGAGACAAAGATAATGTTGCTTTATGCGTATATCCTATGAGTTGGTGTGTTCAGTAATGGCAGCATTCAAGTGTGGGAATGTTTGCCAGATTAGAAAGTTTGTAAATTGTTCTCTTTTATTCTGTGATCGATACAATTTAGTATAAATCTGAAACATTTTTTTAAATTGCTCCTTTCAGTGGCTATAATAGTCTGTATACTCAACTAAGATTCAATTAATTAGAAATAAAACTAACTCCATGAACTATTAATAAGTAACATGTTTTCCTCCTACTTTGATTTTAAAGTAACTTTCTTCTTTTCTTGCATTTCACTAATGAGCTTTTAATGAGGAACTAAGTAACTTGAATATGCCATCATTTCTTAGGGTTGCAGATTTCTTGGAGATATTTCTCATAGTGGAATTCTGAAATCCAAAGAGTACATTGAGATTGAGATTTTGATTTAGTCAGATTTACCAGCTATAATTGGCATGTTGTAATAAACAATTTCCTGTTCTTTTGGAGATACAGTAGAGATTTCCACTAACAGTATGACTCCTTCCTCCTTTCGTCCAAGTAGGCGGAGTCTTCTCTTAGAATCATAGCGTGATTCATCATTTTCTGTGAAAGAAGATAGTGAAGCCTGTAATCCCGAGCCGAGCAACTCGTGTGCTGGCATAGGCTTGTGGGAATGTTCAGAGTTTAGGGGAAGTTTACATCATGCTGAACGAGGAAATTTAAATGTCATAGCTGTGAGCACAGGGAAAGTAAGCTTTGCCAGAAAGAAAATTCCTAATCTTTCCTATTATTAAAGCATTTTCTTTTAAAAAAATATATTTCAGATAGAGGAAGGGAGAAGGGGGAGAGAGAGAGAGAGAGGAACATCAATGATGAGAGTCATTGATCGGCTGCCTCCTGCATGCCCCCAGATCGAGCCTGCAACCCGGGCATGTGCCCTGACCTGGAATCGAATCAAACCTCTGTCTCCTGGATCCTAGGTTGATGCTCAACTATTGAGCCATGCCTGGCCGGGCTTAAAGCATTTTCTTAAAAGTCAAGAAATACTACAGTTTTATGATGAAAAACAGCTCTCTCCTGTACCTTTCTCTCCTCTCCACTTTCAGATGTCATTCCTGCTGTTTTCTTTTATATCCCTTTCTGGAAATCCTGTTACTTGGATAAAGCTTCTCCTACCTCGAGCCCCCCCTCAACTTTCTTACAGTTCTGTTCCTCCCCTCG